AGAGATGAGTAGTTCTGCGATCGTGAGTGACTGCTAGGAAAACTTGATTTTCAGACGCATCGACAACATAGAAATCCTGGTAATTACATACAAGAGCTATATTAATCATAACCATTACAATTTCCTCAAATGTGATTGGCACATTAGCTGCTTTATTTTTCATTGATCATTCTGTACAGTTGTTATCGAACAGTTGGCTGTAATGGGATACCTGTTATCGGACAGTTGAAGCAGCCAATCATACTAGTTCCACTAAGCTAAATCCACCAATCACAGAATATAGAATACACTTAACAAATAGAGAAGCCTTGACTGTGCTCTGTTCTGTTGTAAAGCACGCAGGAAGCGGCTAGAGTACGAAAGAAGTGTAGGGGGAAACACGTGACGTAATCGAGTGTTTCTGCCTACTTCTTGAGTAGGAGTTAGCTTCTAACCCTTGAGTGCTCTAGCCGCTTCCTAAGTGCTTTACAACAGAACAGAACACAGTCAAGGCTTCTCTATTAGTTTTATAATAAAGAATCCGTTAAATTCCCCAAGAATTACTTTCAATTTTCAAAACAAATTTCATTTCCAAAGCGAACAACAGTGTCGTCAGCATGCTCTATACTCTCATAAAGCACGCTACAATAAGCTAGTCATAATCCCTGTTAGAATGGTTCAAATAATCTGATTGGCTGTACAAGACTAAAGCTGTCAAAAATGTCAAACCATCAAAGTTCATACTCTGCAATAGTTTACAAAATAGTTCGGAATGTCGAATTTAACACTCTTGCAGTTTCTAATACAGAATATGAAGGTGAAATGTTCAGTGAAATTCGGCCCAGTCGTGGCTCACAAAAAATAAGCGAGTTATTTCACATGACAGGTAGAAAACAAACTGTTCAGGCCCAGTGCATTAGGAATGAACAACAGCCGAATTCACTAGGACATGAAGATCGCTCGGATTGACAGCGACGTAAAACTCGGCTGCGGTGACTAATGAGGCCTTCCACTCAACGCATCGGAAAGGTAATCAGAATTAGCTTTTTCACTCGAAGGGTAGTCGATTTAGTTCCTGAGGCTTGCTCCATTGCGATGACCGTAGATCGCCATGATGAGCGAGTCGCGATAGACCTCAGCATGATCGCAGTCGCTCCGACACCGTCACGATTAGTATGAATTTTAACAGTTATGCCAGGTTATATTTTTCATCCTTCCTGTTTTGTTTTTGAAAATGAAACTTTATATACTATACAAGTGTTAGCTATGTTTGATTTTTATTACCGTACGTAAACATGCAATCTAACTGAGCGTGAAAACCGTTAAAACTCGGACTGTCTATTTGTTTTATCTTTGAGGATTTGTCTCTGCTCACGTTACAGTAACCTAACTTATGCACCTGGCATTTTTGCAAACCTTTGCTCGCTTGTTCCGAAATTTCACTGTCAATTAACGAAAGAAAAGCTCGAAAGAAGTCCCG